CTCCAGCTCTTCTGTGTACATTTCATTACACTGCATTTTGCCCTCTGCAGTCACCCTTGGAGAGTCACCCTTGGAGAGAGACCCCTGTTCAGTTGTTTTACCTCATAGTTTTCCCCTTTTGTGTCCGCTGTGCTGTTCGCTTTGGGGAGTATTCGTGTATTCACAATGTTACATTTTTCTATCCACGAGAATGTATATTCTTCTTTTGATTTCTCATAGTAGGATTGTGTTAGTCTGGGTAGACTAGAGAAACAAATCCATGGATACACATATGTGTATAAGAAAGAGATTTATACACAGGAGCAATTGAACATTGAGAAAACATCCCAGCCTGGTTCAGATCAAGTCCTTAAGTCCAATATTAGCCCATAGGACTGAGACCAATCTATAAAGTCCTGTTCAGACTCACGAAACACATGCAATGAAGCCAAATGCAGGAGATCACAGGCCAGTGGGTAGAAAGTCTTTGAATCCAGTGTCATTGGAAACATCTCAGCACTGGCAGGAGTCTCTCTGTGGCTTCTCCAGCTTCGGAGGTCTGGCTTGTCCTCTGCAATGTCTCCCAGGGAGTAGCAGTGAGAGAGGTGTCTTCCACCTCCAAGGAGGAGGTACCAGATTTCCCAGAATTCTCTGAAGGCCATGCCCACACAGAAGTCTCATTGGCTATCTCCAGATTGACAGCCTAGGCTCCACCACTACACTTTTAATCCTTAAATTGACACCAGATCAGGTGACTACCACAAGTATTTTGTAATTTTCTTTGTGTAAGTCTTTTATATCTCTGGCTATTTTATTACTATGTATTTTATCTTTTGGATGACCAACATAAACGGTATTGTTTTCCTGATTTCCCTTGTTAGTGTAAAGGGACCGGCTGATCTTTACAGTTCCCTGCCATTTTGCTGGGTCTATCTATTACAGTGGTTCTCAACCTTCCTAGTGCTGCCACCCTTTCATACACTTCCTCATGTTGTGGTGACGCCCCAACCATAACATTATTTTTGTTGCTACTTCATAACTGTAATTTTACTACTGTGATGAATTGGGCAATCCCTGTGAAAGGGTCATTCGACCCCCAAAGGGGTCACGACCCACAGGTTGAGAACCCCTGATCCATTAAAGTAGCTTTCTTGTTGAGTCTCTTGGATTTCCTGAGTATAGGATCCTACCACCTGCAAATAGAGACAGCTTTATTCTTTCTTACTAATTGGATGCCTTTGATTGCTCTGGCAGTGACTGTCCAGACAACGTTAAATGGGAACGGGGACAAAGGGCACCCTCGTCTGGTTTGTTTGCCAGGGGAAGCTTTCAGTTTCCCTCCAGTAAGAACAATGTTGGCAGTTGGTCCGGGTGCACTCCCTTCATCGACTGAGGGTATAGCTTTCTATTCCTGTTATGTTGAGTGTCTTCTTTTTAAATCCAAGTGGATGTTGGGTTTTGCCAAGTGTCCTTTCTACGTGGCTTGATGTGACCCTGTCGTTCTCTTCCTTTGCTTTACTCAGGTGAGGAATGCTGGGAGCTGTTGGGCATGTCTGTGTCTATGTTCTGGGGGGACGTTGGTCCATCACTTTCTTTTTGAGCCGTGCCTTTGCCCGGCTTTGGTATCAGGGTTATTAGGCATGTTTCATACAATGAATTTGAGAGGGTTATTCCAACCTTTTCCATGTTCTGAAATAATTTAGGGAGAATTGGTGTCATCTCTTATCAGAATGTTAGGTACAAATTTCCAGTGAAGCAATTTGGGCTAGGACTTTTTTTTTTAATGAAAAGATCATTTTATTGGGGGCTCTTACAGCTCTTATAACAATCCATATATCACTTGTATCAAGCAAATTTGTACATAGATTGCCATCATTATTTTCTAAACATATGCTTTCTCTTTGAGCCCTGGGTATCAGCTCCTTTTTTCACCTCCCTCCCCCTCCCACCCTTATGTCCCTTGATAAATTATTTTCATATCTTACGCCGACTGCTACCTTGCTTCTTCATGGGTTCTGTTCTTCGTCCCATTTGGGGGGCTGGAGCCGTGTGTGCTTATGTGTCGATCATTGCCATCAGTTCCTCATTCCTCCCCTCCTCTCCCACCTTCCCCTACCCTCCTTGTATCGCCACCCCCATTCCTGTTCCTGGATTCCCTGTGTCGTGATCTCTTATCTCTTAACTGAACTGTGTACATGCTCCAGTCTAGCCTGCAGTGAAAGGCAGGACTGGGGTCATGATAGTGGGGGGTGAGGAAGCTCAAGGAACCAGAGGAATAGTGTGTGCTTCATTGGGGCTACACTGTTCCCTGGTTGACTCACCCCTTCCTTCTGTGAGGGGTTGTCTCATTGTCTACAGATGGGTTTGGGGTCTCTTCTCTGACCCCCCTTGTTCTCAATAATATCTTTTTTGTTTGTTTGTTTGTTTGGGGTCTTTTGATGCCTTTTACCCACCCCGTTGACACCTCGTTATCACACAAGCTGGTGTGCTTCATCCATGTGGCTTGTTGCTCTCAGCTAGATGGCTGCTTGTTTAACTTCAAGACTTTAAGACCCCAGATGCTGTATCATTTGATTGCCTGAACACATTTCTTTAAAACGGGTGGATTCTTATTACTTCTTCAGAGTGTTCTGTTATGACTCTTTATCACAGTCACACGTTTATGGAGATTCTTCCATCTGCTCCTTGTGAGGAGGTTGAATTTGTCAGTGGTTTGTCGATTTTATTCATCCTTTCAAAGAACCAGATTCTAGTCTGTTGGTCCTTGTGATTGCTTTTCTGTTTGATTTCATTGATTTCTGCTCTAATACTGATTGCTTCCTTTCTGCTGGTGTCTGTAGGCATTTCTTCCCTGTTCTTTTCCTAATTGTTAGAGTTGTCGGATTAAGGTATTTACTTAGGAACTTTAGAACCAGTCTGCACCATCTCTAAAAATACTTTGACTTTGGAATTATGGGTTTTGCATCAAAGCGGGAGGGCAAGTACTTACTGCAGGGAGGATGGCACACTTCTTAAGTTTTAGTCTTGGAAACACCAACGAGCC